GGCTATTTTTTGGTTGCAGCCGTCATTGTTGTTTGGTGGTGGGCCCGGGCTGGATTCAAACCCACCACCTTAGGTGTATGTGGCTGGCGCCTTAGCCACTTGAGCCATAGGCGCCGAGCCCTGTTCGTGCATTCTTTCCAAAAATCAGGAGTTTTTTAAAAGGCCGTGAGATGCGGGACAAATTGTTAAAAAAGCGGGACTGTCCCGCCAAAAGCGGGACGTCTGGTCACCCTAATTTGAGACCAACCTGTGCAAGAGTGAGATCCTGTCTCTACTAAAAGTACAAAAGCTAGCTGGCCATTGTGGTGAGCATCTGTAGTCCTAGCTACTCAGGAAGTCAGGCAGGAGGATAGCTTGAGCCCAGGAGTTTGAGGTTGCTGTGAGCTAGGCTGATGCCACAGCAACTCGAGCCTGGGCAAGTGTGAGTGAGACTCTGACTTAAAAAAAAAAAAAAAATTATGCAATTAAATTTATCAATCTCTTACAACTTCTGGGTTATATCCTGCTTAAAAAGGATTTAGGCTATGGCTTAATTACTATGTTGGTGACTTCTAACTTTTTCTTTTTTTTTTGTTTGAGACAGAGTCCCACCCTATGCCCTGAGTAGAGTGCAATGGTGTCATAGCTCACTGCAACCTCTGACTAGGGCTGTGGGCAACCCACTCCCTCAGCCTCCAGAAGCTGCTGGGATTACGGGTGCTTGCTGGGGCACTCAGCTGGGTTCTTTTTTTTTTTTTTTTTTATTAGGAGTTGGGGGTCTCGCTCTCAGGCAAGTCTTGAACTCCTGAGCGCAAGCAATTCTCCCTCCTCAGCCTCCCACAGTGCTGGGATTACAGGCTTGAGCCACCGCGCTTGGCATAACTTCTAATTTTTAATCTCACTCCAACCTCTTTTCCAAAGAACAGACTTAAACAGTCACCTGTTCAATATTTCAACTTAGATATCTCTTAGATATCTGAACAAATTCTAAACATAATCCATAATCTTATCTCTTCAAACTGTTCCACTCTCAGTAAATCTGTATAGTAGAAATGCCCAGAAATGAACCGCTCAGTCCAAACAGTGCCAAATTTTCTTTCAAAAAATGTTATACCAAGTTACACTCACATTAGTAACACGTTTATTTATCCATGGTCTTAACAACAGGGTGTAAAATCAAATTTCTGGATATTTGTAATCTGACAGATAAATAATGGTACTTTGGTATAGTTGTGTGTTTTAGTTATTTGGAACAAACTTGAGCAGACTTTCGTATGTTTAAGGGCAAAATGAATTTCTTTTCTGTTTATGGCTCATTTTTAGATCAGTTAGATTCAGTTAGATCATTGGTCTAGGTCACTTAAAGACATTACATTTTTGTCTATAATATGAGTTGCAAATATTTTCTTCCAGTTTGTCTTTGACTTTTATCTTATTATTGTTTTTCTTTGTTTCACCATGAAGAACATACTGATTCTTATGTAGTTAAATCTATCAATTTTATCTTTTTTTTTTTTGAGTCAGAGTCTTGCTCTGTCAGGTGGAATGCATTGGTGTCACTATAGCTTACGGTAACATCAAACTCCTGGGCTCAAGCAATCTTCCTGCCTCAGCTTCTTGGGTAGCTGGGACTACAGGCATGTACTACGATGCCTGGCTAATTTTTCTATTTTTAGTAGAGATATGTCACACTCTTGTTCAGGCTAGTCTCAAATTCCTGAGCTCAAGCAATCCTCCAGCCTTGTCTCCGCTCCGCCCCCCCCCGCCCCCCCCATGCTAGGATTGCAGGCATGAGCCACTGCACCTGGCCCCAATTTTATCTTCTGTCTCTTCTGGGTTAGGCAACTAGAGAGACTTTCTTTACTTCAAGATTATACAGGAATTGATCCATGTCATCTTCTAATATTTTCATGGTTTCATTTTGTATGTTCAAATCTTTGATCCATTGGAGGTTATCCCGGTGGACAGCAGGTGATATTAAAGTATGAAATAGACTATGTTTTTCCTTTGTTGAAACCCTTTCAGAGTTTTCTATCACTTTTACGATTAAATCTCAATTCAGAAATTACTAGGTATGGCAGAAAAAAAAGATTAAATCTCAAATTCTTAACACGATCCATTAACTTCAATTTGGCCCTCTTTCTAGGAAATCATTATGCAATATTGTCCACTCTCTTCTTCTTTTGATCTGTTTTTTTCAGTTCTTCAAACTATTTGTTTTTTAATGTCCTAGGATTTTGCATGAGCTGTTTCCAAACTGAAGTTAAATTTCTCTGTAGTATACTCTTAAATCATCCAGAGCTGCTCATTTGTAATACTCAGTAACTATAATTAATTACTTATGTAATTATGGATTTAATGACTGTCTCCACTGCTAGAGTATACACTTTAGGAGTACATAGTGTCTAGGTTTCTTGTTCACTATTGTGGCCTATGTTCCCAAACACAGTGGCTGAAACATCGCAGGTTTATAAACATTTGTTAAATGAACATATGAAAAATAGCAGGTTTAATGAAAATCCTTTTGGTAATATCTAAATTCATCTTTTCTGATTATTATTTTACCAAATAACCTCTAATTTATAATTTATTCTAAATATTCCACATAATCAGGAAGGAAATGACTTATACAAATGACTAATACAAGCTATTCTATCAGGCATATAAATTACCTTTTTATGAATGTGGCTAGGAAGAGGTAGAACACAAAACTGGCCTATAAAATAAAAACCAGGTTTAGGACATATAACAACTTATTTCTTTGACGTTATGAATTAGACTCAGCAGTAAATACCCAGGCAAGTATTCACAGAGTATGAACCCATATTGTTCTCCTGACAAACAGGTTATGAATGCACTCAAACCAGTAAGTGCAACTCACCTCTTTTTTTTGTTTGTTTGTTGTTGTTTTTTTTTTTTGAGACAGAGTCTCACTTTATCGCCTCTGGTAGAGTGCCGTGGCGTCACAGCTCACAGCAACCTCCAGCTCCTGGGCTTAGGTGATTCTCCTGCCTCAGCCTTGCAACTCACCTCTTGAAAGTTATGTTGAGTGAACTTGTCTGCTATCCTTAGCAATTCACGACATGAATGTGTATCAGCAAAAGCCCGAATGCCCAGGCAGTTAGAAGGATCTAATTGTCTCTTTAAGAATTCACAGCAGGCTTCCTGTATTTCTGCCAGCTGGAGGAGGCAAGCAGCTGGGAGAAGGGTCTGAACATTGCCCTCTTCCACAGTTATTTGGGAGGTATATGCAAAGTCAATCAGTAGTTCCATTGCCCTCTCATCTATGTCCCGGATTACTACTTCTGTCTGACGGCTCTCTGCCAATTCTCCTGTAAACATAGCTCGGAAGTAGGGACTACAGGCTGACAAAATGACTCGATGGGCATATATCTTCTTAGCGCCCACAACTAGCACCACATCACATAGCTCCCGGTGCTTTCTCAGAAGGTTAATGACTTCCAAGGTTTGTCGAGGGTGCTTGTCAGAGATATAGGGCATGCGGGCAGGTTGGGGAACCCCTTCTGGTAGTTTGTTGGGGTCTCCAAGGGTACAACGGCTTGTTACATCCATTCCAGACTCTCCTGGTCGAATATTGGTACACCTATAGGAATGGGGGGAGGGAGAGAAGATGGCAATGTTATTATAAGCTCACTTCTGCTACAGTGTCTAGAAGTCAAGAGATAGAGAAACCTGCAATGTACCATAAGACGGAACTAGGCCCCTAAGAACCTCCTTTCTAAGAACCCTAGAACTCATAAACTTCCTTAAAATCTCTTGAAAAATGAGTGCTATTAATCCCAAGTTAGAGCACTTCCACTATTTGCTCTCCTAAAATAAAGGAAAATTATCTTTTCATCCCAGAAGTAGTTAGCTTATCTTGGATCACATCTCTTATAACATTAATAAAAATTTATAAAAAACATTTGTAAATGATTCTCTCTGCACGGAACAGACATGTGAACTTTAATTGTTAAATCTGGTTTAACCAAAAGCTTGATATTTGTTACTTTCTAAAATAGCTGATTTTATTTCTCATTTTCACTGCATATTATTTTAAATTTTTCTAATGTTTAGAAAATCGGTAAACTATAGCTCAAGATGCATGAAAAGATGAGTAGGAAAATAGGCAAGGGTCCAAAAAATTAATTTATATTTAATACTATATTTCTTTGATTCTATGATGTATACTATTCATAGTTTAGTATTTAACAAAAATTGGAAATCACCGAAAGCTGATGTCAAAGAAACTTGCCAGCTCCCAGATAGAGGGGCTGTAATCAGTTGTTACTGCACCCACATGGGAATTTTTTTTTTTTTTTTTTTTTTT